ACTCCGACAGACTCCGCATTTACATCCGCGGCTCCTCTCTCTGCCTTGCAGCGGGTTGAAATGAGACCGAAAGTTGCTGTAAAGACTTGTAAATGGACCGCCTGGCAAAGGGGGAGGCTGGGGATGTCTGAAACATGCTGCGGTCCGGAGGGGGATTAGGCTGGCTCCCAAGGGCGAGCTTTAATTAAAGGTACCACTAGGGCACAGAGTACAGGAATTCTTAGCATCCTCAGTTCTGGTCTAAAAGCTGCCCCTGTTTAACTTTATCCCCAGGCTTTTTCAGCAACCACCTTCTCTCTGGCAGTACTACTACGTCCATTTTTTTTTTAAAGGACCAGAAGCTGTCTTGTTAAGAATTAGATTTTTGGGGCTTTTTTGGTAAGTGAGTATTAGACAGCATTTTTTTTACAGTATTACATAACATCTGAAAGGGCAGAATAAACACATAAGTAATGGCTAGCTCTATTTTACATACTACATATAAATATATATATTTTCAACTGATTTCTGCATAGGTGAGGACATAGTTGCAGCTTTATGCAACACTCAGTGCAAAGGACTTTATTTATCAGTGGGAGTTTTGCTGTTAACTTTGTAGACATCACAACAGGAGAAACCCAGTGGTATGTAAAAAAACATTGTGCTAAATAGCCAGAAACTAGCTCAAAGTACCAGAAATGAAAATTTTTAGCTGGCTGGGCCCTGGGCTTCTCATTTTGGCACCTGAAGTTGATGGGGAACTTTGTACAAGTCAGACAGCAAAAATCATGCCCATCCTTTGCTCCTGAGGAATACCAAAGCATTAGACAGTTCTCATGTGAAATAGCTTGACGTAAGCATAGTGGATTTGGCATTTACTTCTTGGATATCACTTTCATAACATAATACACCCAAGTTGTGGCCTAATTTCTGCAAAAAGTGGGCATGCTGTGGGTACAATAACTGTTGTCACATGTGGTTTTTCTTTCAAACTGATGACGTTAGCAAAATAACTCCCTCCCCCTTGTACCCACCACCAGCTTCTGTGAACAGTTTTTCAAATTAACTGTAATCAATGCTCATTTTAGCTGAAATCCAGCACTGCCTGGTTAATGCTGGCGATGTGGGATGTGGAGTGTTTGAATGCTTTGAAAACAATTCTTGCGAGATCCGAGGCTTACACGAGATCTGCATGACGTTTCTGCACAACGCTGGAAAATTCGATGCCCAGGTAACACAAGTGAAATGTCCTACCTATCTGCTTGCTTATTGACGCGTATTTTGGTTCCTTAACACATCTTTGCAAAAAAAAAAAAAGTTATCATTACAGAGCAAATCTACTTTTGCACATGACCAGCTTCACTAATAATTTCTCTGTGGAAGAGACCAGAATCATAGACCCCAGAACAGTAACAGAGCAGCGGTGTGCAGCCTTTCCCAGGAGATAGGCTGTCTCTAGCTACAGCTCCCTGGATCGCTTCCACCTACTGTGCCCAGGATAACTAAATCAGAACACTAATGTAGCTGAACATGGTTTTCAGAAACATTAGGCAGCTTAAGCTTCTACACCATGGTTGCTCAAAGCTGATTCTGAAATGCAGCTTGGGCTCCTAGTTCATTTAGATGCATCAAGATATTTCCCAATGTGCAGTTATTAAAATTGATTCTCAAGATTTGCACACAACTAGTACGGGCAACCTCCTAAAGGTGCTGTATTCAAATAAGTCTTTGGTTCAAGCACTGACTTAGACGGTATGCAGTATTAAGTTCATTTCCTTCATTTTCTCCCCAGACCACTTATGCATCACTGAGACATCCTGTTATTATGTCTTGTAAACCTACTCTCCCATTTCAGTGTGGAGGGAAGAGAACATTACGATGGGCCGGCGGCATTTGGTTTGATCGTGCAGTTTGCAGTATAACTTGACTAAAAGCACCAGCTACGTGGCTCTGTTAAAAGCATGGTATAAAGCAGAGCTGTCTTCAGGATTCAGCCTGTTCCATGAGGGGTGGTGGGACCACCCAGTAGGAAACCCTTCTGAAGCGCTGGAGTTCTAGGCTCAAATTCTCAAGGATGTATGAAGGGTCTGGCTAGCCATTAAAACAGGAGTTGTTTCTTCTGTGCATATGTGAAAACCTTCAACTTAATTACCAAGTGGCTTCCAGAAAACACTCATTTATTTTTGCACAATATTCTGTCCATGAACAGATTGACCAAAGTAAGCCCTGTTGGGAGGGGAGGGAAAGGTGCCTGTGAAGGCTGAGCCTAGCCATTGATGCCTATTCCGCAGGATCCCCAGATACTGCTAATCAAATACAGCTTCTTTTACATCCAGGCCATCTCCATTGCAGTGCAGAAGTATTTAAATCCCTGGAGCTTTATTTAATATGGATGTGACTTGAGCCTCTGCTATGACATGGCTTTTCATGTCTCATCTCTGTATTATCTACAGTTATTTCAGGCTGCATTAAATGATAAGACTAACATTGGCCATTTTCTGTTCTCTGCTTTCTGCTCTCCTTCCCTCGCTCTGAAACCTCAGAGTTGATGTCAGATTTGGTTTATATAAGAATTTTGGTTTTTATCCTTATTTGCCTACTGTGCATGTTTGTTGCTGAAGGGAAGGGCAAGTAAGTGCCTTTGGTATGGGGAATAGAAAGGGATGATAACTGAAGCAGTTCTTTGATCAGCAAGAAACATTTCTGGCTTGAAACAATTTGGGGACGGCATCTGCTTGCAGGTCTGGGTGAATCTTAGTTAATGCCAGTGGAGCTGTGCCAGCCTTTGGATAAAGGATAACAAGAATTTGGTCTTCATGAAGCATTTGTGTAAAATAATCTGAAGCTAATGAAGAGATGGAGGCAGTGCAGGGGGCTTCCACACACCTATTGCTCAGTAAGGTAAAGGGAGTCTGAGCAGAGCTATCCAACTGCAACACATGCACTGTGTCTTGTATGGTATCAGATAGCAAAGAGAAAAGGAAGGGTTGCCTTTGATGCCCACTAAGCAATTGAATGAAGGAATCACAAACAGTGGTTAGAGATACTGCTAAAGCAGCTTTCCTGCAGCTTACTTTTTTAGTTTCTTGATTTGATTTTCTTAATCTCACTTACAGTTTCTTGCAGCAAACAGACATCAAGACACTGTAGGATTACTATGGGCGCTGATCTGAGTCCCTCTCTGAGGAAGTGGTGAAGTGGTAGTAGTAAAAATACTGACATCTGAGGAATGGGGCAGGTGCATATAGATGGTGCATACATGTCTATGAGTTTACAAACTAATTTTAAAATTAAAAAACTAATTTGCAGTTACTGAATGGGTATCTGCTTGGAGTCCTGGGGATCTCAGCCATGGTAGGATGCCCTCTCCCTTGTGTGAACCTGCTGTGCTGCCACCCTAGGAGTGAACAAAGCCAGTAACTCAAGCATTGAATTATTTCGAGGTGCTTACTTTTGCCCTTTCCCTTGTTGGGCATTCAGCTGTTTGGGCAGAGGAAACCTTAAAATACCAGTGAGGAAGCCATGTGTGTTCAGCTCCACTGGGATAGGAAAGCCGAGTAACTTGGCATGGTCTTTAAGGGCAGAGAAACAAAGAGAAGAGGGGGGGGGGGAAGCCATTAAGTGATACCCCTAGCAATCTAATAACCCTTGACATTGTGCTATAGAGGAGCAGCTGGCTGGGCATAAATCAGCTGCTGTGCTTAATGGACAAAAGTACAGACCCACTCCATTTCTTTTCTTCTCAGGGAAAATCCTTCATTAAAGACGCTCTGAAGTGTAAGGCTCATGCCTTGAGGCATAAATTCAGCTGCATCAGCCGTAAGTGCCCTGCCATTAAAGAGATGGTGTTCCAGTTACAGCGGGAGTGCTACCTGAAGCATGACCTCTGCTCCGCTGCCAAGGAGAACGTCCAGGTCATTGTGGAGATGATTCACTTCAAAGACCTGCTGCAGCATGAGTAAGTGCCTCCGTGCTAGTGCAGTCAGAGGCGTGGGAGCTCCTTCCAGGAGCGCGATGGTGCCAGTGGGCTGTGCATCTGCCCAAGAGCTGTTTCACCTCCTTCTGGCCTTAAGCACGTCTTGTTTTCTCATGTAAAAGGCCAAGGTAATGCTTTCTTTGCCGGGGCCCTGGAAGACTGGTTTGTTTACAAAGGGCTAGATGTGAGTGTGGAAGGAGATGAAATGGGTTGAAGTTGGATCTGGCTGTCTTCTTGGTCCTTTGGCAAATACAGTGTCAGTGTCTGCTGTTTCCAGAGGCATCTCACAATGTCTCTGTTTTCTGAGCTCAAAGGCACTGTTCCTGACCGCAGTGTCCTGTTAAAGATGACAGCTAGAGGAGGAGGGGGAAGAAGGTCTATGCGAAGTTGTCAGCAAGATGATGATTTCTTCTTTAAATACTTACTTTCAAATGTCTTTTAGTTAATTGTCCCTGAAAGAGCTGCAGTCCCCCATGTAATCACCATTCGTCTTATTCTTAATCTCAGATGCTTTTTAATAAAACATGGAGGTGTACAAATTGAAGGCACAAGTCAGGTTTTGAGGAGTTCATCCCTCTGACTGGGAACACAGCTGCCCTCTGAGGAAGGGCAGGCATGAATCCTGTTTGGAATTGATCAAAGCTGCTACTCGACAGCAAGAAACCAGGCACAAGCTGTTTGTATCAACTCTTTGTGCACAAATGCAAAAATCGGAGCCTGTTTTTCTTGCAGGTGAACATCTCGCTCCCAAACAAGAAGGCTGAGCCACAGCCTGGCAACATGCTTAACCTTAGAGCATCTTCCTACCATGCCTCTATGCCTTTTTATCCCTAGTGGATATTAGCACAGCAACTCCAAATCCCAGCAGTCATGACAGATAAATTTATTTTTTTTTATAGAATCATTTCTTTTGGAGTTCTAGCCTTGCCTTTGCATTAGTATCCAAAGCAGCTGTGCTCTGATTCTTTTACTTTCTGTTGAAAACCACCCCCTAATACTTAAGCTGGAGCTGTGGAGAGATGCTTTGATGCCAGTTTACTCTCAAATGCAGAATGATTTGCTGTGGTTTGTACGAGCTGAACATGGTGGCCTGAAAGCAAGGCCCTTTCCATGGACATTCCTGAGGCTGGGATCAAAGGCATGGCTGGTGGCAGATCCTGGCCTTGCCAGGGCTGCTGGCTGTGCCCCAGGGTGAAGGGCAGCATCCCGCTGGCTGGGGGAGAGGGGAAGTAGGGCTCCGTCCCGCACAGCAGCACCTTGCTGTGGGCACTGCTCAGGCTGTGTTAGTAGGCTATAAATTGGGTACTTGGCACCAATTAATCCCCTGCCCCATCATTTGTGGATGAGAAGAACTAGGAGAGCCAAAGCCTGTCCAAAGAGGAGTAAGTTATCCTTATTTTACGAACAGGGTAAAGGAGGAATGCTCAAAGGCAGCTGCTTATTTCTGAGGAACTTAACTGGGGGTTCTCAGTTTGAGAAGAGATGGGTCATTGAGCTGAACACCTATAATTTGCATGATCTCTTTTAGAGCTTCCTACACTTCAGCATCTCACGGAGTCAGAGCTTAGCTTTCCTATGCGGGACTCCCCAAATAGAAGCCAGCCAGCCTCCTCCCCTCCCCTAAATTTAGAGGCGTTCTCTGAAGCTCTTGAACTAAGGAACTTGTTCAAGATCAATAGGCAAGTGTGGCAGAGCTGGAAATAAAATCACGTCTGCTGACTTGCAGCCTTGTGCTCAGTTCAGGTACTATGGTCAGGCCAGCTGAAATGCAGAAAGTAAAACAGCGAAGGAGAAATGGGCCAGTATTAATCCGCAGGGCTCTGGCAGACTCCGAATACCTGAAATATTTGGCAGCTGCGCCACTTTTTAGTCATACCAGCAACCTCTTTTCTTACAAAGATTTTTGTAAAGCTTATGCCCAATTTCAACAACTGATTTCTCTCTTTATTTTTTTTTTTCTTCCTTCTGCTGGATCACTTTGTATGCGATGTGCTCAGTTGTCTTATCTTCTGTTTTATGTTTAAAACAAAAACTAAGAGCGGAAAGCAAGTGGCAACTCTCAGACTTGTTCTCTGACTATTTTATTCTGAATGTTTTCTCCCGATGAGTGTTGAGGAACGCAATTGGGGCGGTGAAGTCTCCTCCTGAGTCAGCTGCAGTGGGGTGGGGGTCAGGCCGATTTGCTATGGTGGAAGTGGTGACAGGCCCTGGCAGATTGGTCGCTGCTGCATTCCAAGTAACTTTTTTTTTTTAAATGGCAGAAACGATCCAAATATGGGAAATATTTTGAGATGGGGGAATAGGTGGCTCTCCAAGATTAGTCATTCAAAATGAGTTTAAGCAGTTGGGCAAAGTCCGATCAGTGTCTGACACTACACTGATTTTTAATCTGTTGGTTTTCCTCATCTCTTCTTAGTTCCTGGGGAGAGATTTATACTTGTCCACAGCCACCAGAGCTGGTGTACAGTGTGCCCAGAAGGTGTAGCCCCATCACCCCGTACAACCACGACTGCTGACCCCAGGCAGTTCTCCACAACCACTATGGATGTGTCCTACTGTGGAAGACTTTTAAGCACGTCCTTCTGGGCCTGCTAGCAGCTGAGCAGTTGTGTCAATAGACAACATCAATATTGACCCACAAAGCTTGTGACCGCAACTATTTTAAAATCACTGCACTCAGTGACCCGTGGCTGAGGAAGCCAAAGTGCCTGTGCTCGGGCTGCGTTGTGCTGTGGGGGCGCAGAGGGACGGGTGGGAAGCAGAAACGGTATTTGGCCATGGCTTGTTTGGAGTCCTTGTTTGGCTGGGAACAGTTAGATACTGAAAGCTGTACTCAACCCTGTAAGGAAATGAAGCAAAAAAAAAAAAAAAAAAGAAGGGGGGGGGGGAAACCACCTTAGTGTGGAAGGAACAGTGCCATCAAAGTGGATTTCCATGTGTCTGGGCTCTGCGCAGTTGGATCCTGAGTCCAGATAGGATCTTGCTTGTGGTGGAGATCAAAACCTGGTGCTTCAGGGAAAGCTAAAGATGATGAGAAAAGCCAGAGAACCTCTAGTTGACTATCTCTTGTTCTTTGCAGGGGTAGGGAAATGCAGACTAGTGATCGGTGTGTGCTCTGTACCAGCCGTTCACCTGGAGATAGCAAGCTGTTTGAAGTTGATGGCTCTGGACATGAGCAGGTTTCCTTTGTTGTGTATCCTGACTAAAGACGAAGGGGCGTGATGGAAAGAGAGAGAGGCCATTTGAGAGCCCCATTTGCCAAGTGTGTAGACCTCATATATTCCTCTGGAACATACACAGTTCTCCCAGAGCATCTCCAGTGGGGGAGCAATCAAGGCAGATCCAGCACTTGAGTGAAGCTTCATTTGACAGGATGCCATCATGTGCATTTCTTACAGCAGTATGGCAAATTAGCATATAATATATTGCATAATAAACATATGGTGCAGAATTGCTCTACAAGGCTGCTGAATCAGTGGGTGGCAGGGGGCTAATGCATCTGAACTGTGCTGTGCACAAGGGAGGCTAAGGCAAAGAGGCCATTACACTCGTTTACTGATAGATAACCCTTATATATTTTTTTTTTACTTTCCTCTCACTGTTTCCTTTACCTCTAGGCCATATGTTGACCTAGTGAATATCCTGCTCACCTGTGGCGAGGAGGTGAAAAAGGCAATAACAAGAAGTGTCCAGGTCCAGTGCGAACAGAACTGGGGAAGTCTCTGCTCCATCCTGAGCTTCTGCACCTCGGCTGTGCACGGTGACACCATCCTGGGACCCGAGAAGAAGCCAGGTGAAGCCAGCAAAGCCGCTGCTGGCCGCGAGGACATGCTTGCCCACTCCGACTCCGACCACAGGGAGAGCTCGCGAGCATCGAAGGGAGAGAGAGGTACTAAGGGCCACTTGAATGCCCATGCCCGGGTGAAAGCTGGGGGCCACGGTCCCAAAGGGGCACATGGGATCATGGACCGGGCAGACGAACTGTCCGACTTCTCTGACATCCGGAGGTGAAAAAAGGCACCAACTCCCTGTTCCCCCCATCTTCCCCCTCCACTGGAAACCTCCTCCGTTGAGTCCCATCTTCCCGTCTATGGACATTCCAAAGCATTTCCCATTCAGAGGTCAAGCACAGGGCATTGCAAGTTATATATGGACCTCGGCAACAGTGTATATAGTAGCAAAGGGAGAGCAGTGGCAATGAGTTATCAATCCAGCAAACTTGACACTTGAGCAGCCACCAAATGTGGCAAAATGTCTCTGACTAAATTCTCTTCCCCTTTTTTATGAAACGGACATCAGCTGAAATTTAGGATCCTGTTTGGGGGTTGTTGGGTTGTTTGGGGTTTGTTTTTTGTTTTGTTTTTTCTTGGTCCCCTTGGCTGGGGAGAAGGTTCCAAGAGGGCTCTGCCAGATTGCACGTGGCTGCTTGTGGCTTAGCACCTCGGAAGGTTTAGGGTGCAGCCTTACAGCAGATGGCTGAGTTCCAGGGGGATTTGGTTTCTGCCCATGACTGAGAATGCGAGAGCTCAAGGCTCTCTATGTGACGCTTTCTAATGAAAGAGCTACCCTGTCTCTTGCACAGGAACCGTGCAGTCTGGAGCTCCACCGCTTTCTTTTTACTAACTTCTGAGCCATTGTTCCCATCTGGGTGATGCTGCCTAGTTTAAGTGCCCCCTGTTTGTTTTTTAACCACTGCATAACTTGATACTTGCTAATTCAGTCACTTGAGCATATCAAAGGCGAGTAGTCAGCTTCCAGGAAAGGCAGTGTGACTGTTAAGACTTGCACAGTATGGAGGACCCCCAAGAGTATGCTTGTGGACCTCTAAAAAACCCTGTGCATATTCTCTGCTTACACCTGCCCACTCAGTGATAGAGATCCTCCACCCTTATGGACAGCCCAAACTTAAAAAGGATGGGCGTAGGCTCAGACAGCGAAGGACCCCATGTACTTGGTTCTTTTGTAGGGCTGCATTGAAGGCCCATCAGGAATCTGTCTATCCTTAGCAGTAGCATGGTGTGGTTTGCTGGGATGTGGAGCCCCACTCTAACCTGCCTATCAGCTGTGGTTTATCCAAATGCCAAAGATAAGGAGAAGGGGTTGACTTGTTTTGTTGTTTTTTTCCTTAATTGTAATGCAGATAATGACCACCAGTCCTCTGCAGAATGAATTACTAAAGATTAAGAGTGTCAAGAGCTTATTGTCTCTAAGCAGTTCTCAGTGTGAATGAGGTGTTTGGACACATCTCTCCTACCCCCTATGCAATTGTAATTCTCAGGTTGCAGATCTGCAATCCTATATCCCCAGATATTGTACTGGAAATGGAGGTTACAGCATCCACGGGGACGGAAGGGTGAGCTCTTCAGCTTCCTCTAGAGAAAAAGCAAGTTTTCTTAGAAAGTGGGAATCACACCAGGGATTTGAGTCTTCTCATTTAGAAAGTTTGGGAGGAAAGCTGTGGGGGCAGAAAGGCAGTTCAGTAGAGACAGAACGTACCCAGTGAACTAACGTACGTCTTGTCGCATGGTGGGAAGGAGCTGTATAAACAGTAGAGGGTGTTGGAATTTGGCTACGCTTTCCAACTCAGATTTTAGTTACTGCTAAGTGAACACAGCTCCTAATAGCTATATTGAGGGTTTAATGCATGTATCCATGCGCAGAAGTTATAGGCATGGCTTTTAATAGAAGCCATGTAGGAAGCAAGAGAGGACCGTTAAGTTGAAAAGGTGTGTCTCTATATGATCACCAGGTCTTTGTTTAAGGAAATGACCTTGATCCTGCCTGATTTTAGCTAAGTTCTGTGGCAAATTTTTCATTCAACTTAATTGGGAAGAGGTGGGATCAGGCCAGGTACTGTAGCGGTGAAGATCATGCTGACCTGAGGAGCAGAGCTCCTGGCGCTGAGTGCCAGCTCTCCTGTTGGGCTGTAGTACAGCTCTTCCATGGACAGGGCACTCGGGCTGTCCCATGGAGGAGCCTGCCTCTGGCCAACTCCTCTGCTCCAAAAGCTGAGTGGCTGCTGGTGGTACCATAAGAAGGTTTCTAGCGTGCCTCCATGGGTTTCCTGTGAGCGTCCTCTCCCCCTTGGTGGCATATAGCCACCATGAAGAACAAGCTCAAACCAAAAAGACAATCCAAGCATTTTAGCAAAACAAACAAACAAACAAAAAGCCAAACAAACACAAAACAGAAACAACAACTCGCTACCAACGTAATGTTCTTGCATTGAACTAAAATAAGATCCCTCTCTCCTTAGAGGTCTGATTCATTAATGGGAACCAAACATATAGATCTACATCCTTGAATGTCTCAGTCAACGTATCACCTCAGCATGCATACAGTTTTGTTTGTATTAATTCATTCTGTAGGGGAAATTGTATATTCCCCTTGTTTAGTCAATGAAAATGGGGGGG